GGGCTGTAGGCTCCAGGAGACACCCTAAAATTTTTACAATTTACACTCTGGCACCAAAGGAGCTTGTCATATCAATCAAAAAACTCAATGGGACACAAGTTGATATGCTGAAGACTATAAAGTTACTTCATCCAAAAATATAATAATCCTCACTTCTGGGCATGACGGCACACATAAAGCAAATTGAAGCCCAGCTTGGTCTACAAAGTGAGTTCCATGCCAGCCAAGCCTGCATAGTGTGACCCTGGCTTAATCATCATTATCATTCTCTTCCTCCTCCTCAAAAGTAAGCTTTTAAAAATATTTGTGATCCAACTTATCAACAGATGATAAATTAGAATAAATGTAAACAACAATTTTCATGGACAATAACTAGAAATTATTTAACATTTTGGAACAAATAAACAAAGACAGATGAGGCTTTGGGTCAAAATAGCATAGCAATAAACTATGCTTCATAAGCCAAAGATAGCATTAGAATCAAGCAATGTCCATGGGATTTTTTTTTTAATTGTAATCAATCTCTAAAAACGCACTGTTAACCAGTACTTACATCTACTTATTATTTCCACCTTCTGGGAATCAGGCAAATCTGTGTGGCATTCTTTTATCCTCTTAGTATTAACCTATACCCTGCCTTTCTTAAAAGAAGACCAGCTTCAAAGATAACAAACATTTTTAGAAAAACCACTGTGTGGTTGGCATTTATCTTTATCTAGTTCCCGAGGCTCAGGAGTAGAAAGAACAGGTTCAGAGGGTTCCCAAGAGAAAGAATAAATGTTGAAACAGGAAACCATAACAAGTAGGAGAAACTCGTGCAGTGAGTGCTATATGTCTACAGTCTTAGCTACTCAGGAGGCTGAGGAAGAAGATGAAGAACTCAGGAGGAGTTCAAAAACAAAGTATGTATTTGAGGAAGAATGAATACTGATGGATATGGAAATATATTATATACACTTATACATATAAACACACAAAAATATATAATGTGCATATCAATGGATTAAACATAGCCTACTATTAAACTGTATCTATCTACAGAGCAATCTTGGTAGCAAATGTTTGGGCAACAAACAATAATACTTCCCAGAATTATGTTTCCTAATATTTAAAAAAGCACTCAATAGTATATAGCAATGTTTTTATCAAATGGTTAAAGGAGGTGTTCCTTTGCTGATAAAAGCACTGATAGGTAATACAAACAGGAAATTGCCTAACTTACTCAATTTTCTAAACATATGTAAAACTGGCCATCTACAAAGATCACCAATATGTGTCCTAACCAATGCAATGAATAAAAAGGGCCCCCTTAAGCTACTGCAACTATATGGTTAACATGTTCCAAATCCAAATGATATCTTGGCCTTGGTAGGCCCAGTATTCCCCACTCCTTTTGCTCTAGGGGTCAGTTTCAATCTTATACTGGCATTTGAGGATGAGCCAACCTCTGGACTCTACTCCTCAAGTGGAAATAGAGCAGATCAGATGAGTTGCAGTTCCAAATTAATGGTACCAAGCAACCAGAGAACCACAATGAGAAGGAAACTTGGATAAAAGAAGCACTAACTACAAAAGGGAACACAATTCATAGTTTCTTCACTGTGTCAACTTCTATCAGAGTGCTGATGAATTATATGTTCAGATAGAAAGTCCCTGCATAGAACTCAAGTGAGCTGTTGGTGAATAAAAACTACTGCAGAGCAGCATCAGGAAAGTTTACCCCAATTCTGTTTTGCTTTGTACCTACAAGGGAAAAGGGCTCGCTCAACACAAATGTTAGAATGCTTATCCACGATTTATTCGCCTCAAAAGTTTGTTTTTATAACAGCATGTTAAACAATCATGTATTAAAGAGACTCTGTAAATTAATATCCTCATAAAATATAGACTTTTTCTCAACCAACTTAACTCTTAGTGAATTAAAAAACAAAGCTGCCATTTACAACCTTGGGTACTATCTCAGCTTTGCTTTGGGCAACACAATAAACTGAATCTCTACTAGCAAAAAAATCAAGTATCCCAAAATGATAGATATCTAATATGTACACATTTAACGAGGGAGGGGGAAAGAGGTAGGCACAGTGATTAATAACAGACTTCAAGTAAAATGTGTCTACAAAATATAGATGCTTTCCAAAAAAGCAATGAAGAGAAAGTAAATTCAAGCAAACAAAAATAGGCAGTACAAACTTACAAGGCAGAACACACATACTTCTATAATATGGAAAAACTCACTTAAATTCACCAGTTAAAGGGAAGAATCCTAACATGAGATTCAAAAATAAGTCATTTCAATCATGAAAGCAAAAAATGGCAGAAGATGGACCAGACAAATCCTAATCAAAATAAAGCTACTATAGTAATATTAATAACAAATAAAATAAAATTAAGGTATAGCATGGCAAAATAATGTGAGGATATATCATTATGAACATATGTGCATCTAATAACCAAAGATTTTATCAAAACTATAGCTATAGGATTAACCAGGGAAAATTATCAAAGTAACTATTACAGAGCTATTTCACATACTTATTTATCAACAGTCTAAGCAGTTACACGGTGATAGATAACAAGACACAGGTTATTAATATGTGACCAAGGACAGATGCAGATATCTATATCAACAATGAGAGGATACCTTGTGTTATCAAACTCAAAGATAACTATACTAACTATATACTATGCTTCAAAGTAATTCCAAAGTACAATAGAATACTATTTTTAGACCACATTTTGATCACAATGTCATTTAAAACAGGAAATGTAAACAAAATTTTTTGCTCACACAACACACACATGTGTATATTCACAAACACTGAAAATTTTAAATCAAATCTATGAAAAATCCAACAGTCAAAAGGAACCATAAGGAGATGAAAAAATATTAAGAATTGAACTAAATGGCCCTGAAAGCACTCTATTTCAAATGTAGACAATCAAAAGTTACTAGGAGGAAAACTGCCAAAGGAAAAACTGAGAGCCATGAAAGCTTTCTTCAATTAAGCTCAAGAAATTAGAAAAGCAGGGGGTTGGAGAGATAGCTCAGCAGTAAAGAACACTGATTGTTCTCCCAGAAGAGCTAGGTTCGAATCCCAGCACCGCACGGCAACTAACAACTGTCCATAACTCCAATTTCAGGGGATCCGACAGCCTCTTCTGTCCTCCACAGGCATTTCATGACACTGGTGCACTTATCTACAAGCAGGTATAACACTCATACACGTAAAATAAAAATAATAAATATATTTTTTTAAAAAATTAGAAAAGCACAAGAATCTGAAAAAAGAAAATGTTACAAAATAGAAAAGATGTAAAACAAACAATAAACAAAATAAAGCTGTCAATTTAGAGGGAGGGATTAAAACAAGAAAAAAAGAATCTAAACTGGGAACTGAATAGATGACTCCGTGGCTGCTCTTGCAGAAGACCCAGGTTCGATTACCAGCACCCACATGGTGACTAACCACTGTCTAGTTCCAGGGGATCTGACACCCTCTTCTGTCTTCCACAGGAACTGCATGACACAGGTTTGCAGGCATAATACTCGTGCACATAAAATTAAAAATCCAAATAAAGAATCCAAACTGAATGCACAAAGTGAGGAAGCTATAAAAACCTTCGCATCAAGTCCATAGGATAATGGACAGTCCACTAAAAGACATATCCATCATTAAAACTTAAAAACACTCCACAAGCATAAGAAAACTGAACCAACAATTTAAACAAGCAAAAAAATACTCTCCAATCTCAGGCTCCCCATAAAAGGCCAGCAGGCCCAAAGAGTTTTAAAGACAAGTTATACCAAATCTCCAATAGAATCCCTAATTTTATCCAAGAAAATGGTCAAGAGAGAATCAACTCAATAGGGGATAGCATATAACTCAGAGAACAAGCAAGAAAGATATCCTTTTTATCTTTTGAAAGACAAAATTACACAATTCTTCAAACACATTCACAAGCTCCAGAGCCAAGTTGCCAAAGCTATAAGCCTGGATCCTCCACCACATGGCTGTAAGACACCAGGCAGTTACAGAGTCTCTTTAAACCTTTATTTACAGCTCCATTCTAATTCTGAGAATGGTAATACTAGTAAATACTTTAGAGTCTTATATTAAATATAAAGAATTTCAACATAATTCACAGACATCTACTACTAGTACATGTTATGTAAACCAATTTATATGTGAAAAGGAATAAACTCTTTTTAATATTTTATTATTTTTATTTTATGTATATGAGTATATGGCCTGACTATAAGGGCACCCCTGTTGTACAATGCCCATAGAGATCAGAAGAGGGCAATTCCCAAGAACTGGAATTATGGACTGTTGTTAGCCACCATGTGGATGCTGGGAACTGAACCCAGGTCCTTTGTAAGAGCACCCAGTGTTCTTAATCACTGAGCCATCTCTCTAGTCTCAGGAATAAACTCTCTTAACATAAAATAATAAGATGCTGGTGCTTTAAAAGATTATACTGACCCCTGTCAGCATCAGTGCTATAAATACCAGTTTTATAAATCATGGGTACTATTTAACTAAATGGCACAAAATAAATTAGCTAGATTTAAACCATTCTCTTTCTTAGGCTAGAACTTTATTGCTAAAATCTGATTATTCCAAATTTTTAAAAACCAGCTTAAAACTAGCATTCCTCAAGTAAGACGTCCTATAGAAATAATAGTCAAAACCACCTATTCAGATCACACATACACCAGCACACACAACCAGTGAGCACACAAGGCAGAAAATCAGTCCTGTTTAGACTAAGAATCAAGAAGGGCTATGCTGAATGGAAATAACAGAAATAATGTTGCTATTGTTTAAATGTAAAGTTGCAACAAACTGGCCTAAGGGAACTTGATAAACCACAAAGCATACTCATCCTGTCAAGCCACAAGGCAGGCTACTTTCCTTCTGCCACCACGAGTACTCTCTACTCACTCCCTGACTCATCCTCTACCACCACAAGCACTCTGCACTCAGTCCCTGCCTCACCTCCAGGTCACAGCTGTACTCGGTGCCGTCGAGAAGAATTACTCTACACTGGACGGTTTTGGTCTTCTTGGTAGCTCTCTGTGACGTCTTCTCTGCTTTCAGCTCATTGGTCTGCACTTCCTTAGTCTCCCTTTTTGCTGCTGCTTCTTCTGATTTGTCTTCCTGTATTTCCTTTACCTTTTCCTCTTTTCTGTCCTTCCTCACTTCTTCTGCAGGCTGTCAGGAAAAAAAGTCCAAGTTAAAGATAATCAATTTGTAGAAGACAGCATTTAAAAGGAGAAAAAAAATCCAAGTTTTTGAACATACTAGGCAAGTGGTCCAGATACATTTTTAGCCCAAAATGAGAATGTTTAATAAAAACTGTCATCTTTATTATAACCACTATAAATCTGCATTTAAAGACTGAAAATTATATAAGAAAGGTTATTTCCTCATCCTTCTTCATTTTGCCAAGTTAATGATCTGAGCATTAAATGAATAAAAGAAACTACATTCCACTGCTTCACCATGCATATAATTTCTAAAATGCCATAGGAAAACCTAGGCTTCAGGCAAATCAAATATACACAGTCTACTTTTTACTCTCCACTAAATACTTAAAAGCAAGGATGAATAAAAGGGTATGATACTTAACAGAAGAGGTGGGAAGAGTCTGACAGACTGCTTAACCTTAGCAGGAACACACAGGCCCTTTGTGTGTGTGTGTGTGTGTGTGTGTGTGTGTGTGTGTGTGTGTGTGTGTGTGTGTATGTGTGTGTGTGTTGCAGTTTTTTTGCTTTGTTACCTTGGAAATGATTTTACAAAGCATGACAGGAAAAGGCTGAGGTAAACTAATCCAGGATCTACAATCCACATACATTAGACCAAAGTAGTATCTCAACAAAAGGAATCCATACAATCCAAAATAAACCATTCTGTTTTCCTATGTTCTCATTCCTAGTCATTCTCAAACATACCTGGATCTCAGCACTGCTCAAGGAAGGCTTTTCTTCCTTGACCTCTACCTTGACCTCAAGGTGTTTCCTCTGAGCCATCTCTTCAGCATCACCCTTAGCCCAACTCTCTTCTTCAGGAAGGGAATCTTCTTTATTTAAGATCTGTTCTTCCACAACAGCTTGGGTAGGCTCTTTTTTATCTCCCCCATCTTTGGCTACTACTAAGTTATAAGACTTCTGTTTCTTAAGCCATGGGGGTATGAATCGAGAAATGCCCCTGCTTTCAGACAGATCCTTCTCTCTCTTTCGGCAGCGCGGACTACTTTGGCTTTCAGCTGTAGGAGCTGGCTGAGAACCTTTATCCTCCTTGGGCTCAGACAGCTGATTCTGTTGATTTTCTGCTACTTCTTTAACTTTTTCCTTGGTTCCATCTGCTCCCACCTGGTCAGAGTCCTTCTTCACTTCAGATGCAGAGCCAACTTCAGTAGTCATGGTTACAGCTTATACTGTAACAAAATAAAGATCACAAAATATTTCAGAAACTCCCAGTTTTAGCCTGGTGACGAGGAAGGGAAGGGTGAGAAGGGATGGGACAAGGAATGGCAGAGACAAAAGAGACATGGCATATGCTAAGAAGTAAGGCTTGTCAGCACAAGACAAAATAGAGATTCCTCTGTCAGACTTCTCTATCAGAATCACAGATCTAACAGCATCATAACAGTAACTGACTCTGCAGTTACAAAACAAAACCACTAAGACGCCAAAAAGGGGGGGGGGGTATTTTTATTTGGTTTCAACTAATAATAATTTTCTTAAAAGTCTAACACAAAAGTCCAATGTTTAAGGATTTACTTTTTACTTTTCCTTGGTTTGGATAGCCTTTATTTGCTATTATGGAAATGTTGTAATCAATGCTAGAAAATATTGAGATGTTTCACTACAATGTCACACAGTAAAACCAAAGCCTACAGAAATGCTAGCTATTATAAAAAACCCATGTTAAATACTAGGAGCTTAAGAGCAATAAAAACTTAAATCTGGAACAACATTGTATTATTGTTTTGCTTTCCACTATTAAATTTTATAATTCACCATCACTCTTCCAACATAAGTTTTTGAAGAAATGATTAAAACCAAAATCAAAACTCCAATCTTTCACGCTACCCAATCTCAAACACCTTTTTGTCTGTGCATATGATTGCAACAAAAATAGCTAAAGGTCCTAAGTATCACCAAATAAAGATATTGTGCAGTAGAAAAAAATACATCTAATGATTTATCACAACTAATGAAAATAAAATTTAATTAAAAATAACTGCTTTTCTAAATTTTACAGAGGCAAAGAGGGATTTTTCAAGAACAGCAAACCAGGACCACAAAGAGAGTAGGCAGGGCCTGTGAAGGCAAATCAAACTCCTCCATTCCTCACTATAAGGGATCCTCTCTCCCTAAAGGTTCTCCCAGAGTTTTTTACGCACTGATACCCTAGCCAAAAGGTAATGTCACAACTATCTTTTTAAATGCTACAAACTTAAATAGGTTTTTTAAAGAAAAACTAAAGTACAATTTTTTGTTTGGTTTTGGTTTTCTTATTGTTGACTGAGACAGGATCTCTCTGTAATCCCAGTCAACCTGGAACTCACTATGTAGACCAGGCTGGCCTCGATCTCATACCTTACCTAGTACTGTAATGAAATTCTCATTTCAGACAGCCCAACTTGGCTATAAGGTATAGAATGAGAGACAAGGCTGAAACAGACATCTGGAAGACGGTTGCAATAATCCAGGCATGCTTCTGTATTAAGGCAGAAGCAGTGAGGGAAAGGATTAGAAATGACTCTCAGGGAAAAGGGATAAATAAGAAATGACGTGAGGTCTAGACTAAATACAGTAAGAGGAAAAGAAACAAGGGAAGGTTTCAGTTATAGGAAACTAGGGCAGATAGTAGAACTATCATCATTTAGTAGAATCATCATTTAGTATGATTTTGAATTTGCTATAATTGACAGGTATGTGGAGATGTCTAATTGGTCAGTAAACAGGCTTTGAAGGAGGCTGGACATACACTGGAGATACTGTTTGGGAGCTGTGGTCACATGGATGGACATCTGTAAGCATAGGTAATGCTGATACCACTTAGAAAAAATGTTGCTTAATGTTAGAAGATCCTGCAAGGAACAGTTATTACCACCTACATGTCTTCCAACAAGAACTGAGAATACAAACTGGATACACATTGCATAAAAGACCTCTTTTTCCTTCGTTCCCATATCATTTTCCAAACACGTTTAAGTGGAGACTATTATTAACATTAGTCAGGCAAAAACCAAAGTTGATTTCTACCATATATTCTCTAATTACATCCTGAGAACTGAATAAACATCTAGGTGAAGTTAAAATGAAAATGTCCCACACTTGTCTAAGCTAACTGAGATAAACTGGCAGCTCTTTAATTACTCTGGCTGTGAGAAACAGCCTGACGACCAATCAACTACAGTTGACTTTTGGCCAAAATATTTAGAAAAGCAATGAAACATAAAACTAAAGTTTCCACTGTTATGTTAAAAACATTAATAGTTGTTTATATTTTAGTCATGGGAGTCACCACCAACAGTTCACTAAGTCAGACAGCATGCAATTTCTGTTCTTCAAAACATTCAACTAGGTAAGTATTAGCTCCATTTTATAAATACTACAATGGAACATAAATGACTAGGTCAAGACTCTAAGTAGATAGTCATACAACTATATATACATCTCACAATTTCTGATTTGTTTTTGTTTGTTCATTTGGCTGGTTTTGTTTTGAGAAAGGGTCTCAACTCCCTATGTAGCCAAGGATAAATGTGAACTCCTGATTGTTCTGTCTCCATCAAGTGCTGGAACTACAGGAGTGTACTATCGTGCCTAGCCTCACATAAAATTTATCATTGGATCCCATCTCCATTATGCATGAATTACCTAACAGATTACAGAGTCCCTAAAGAAGATTCATGCCAGTTTGTGAAAATGACTATAGGACAACATGTATGTATTCTGTGACTCAGCATAAGTAGTCCTATCCCTCCCAAAAGAAATTTACAAATATATTATTCAAATTATACAATCGTATTTGAAATCCATTACTTTAGTCATGCAATCATGACTAAAGGACAGAAGTGCTAATTAAAAGATAAAGAACACATGCTTTGAATTCCAGCACTTGGGAGGCAGAGGCAGGTGAAGCTCTGTGAGATGGAGGCCAGCTTGGTCTACATAGCAAGTTCCAGGCCAGCTGGGGCTACAGGAAGACGAGAGAGAGAGAGAGGGAGAGAGAGGGAGAGAGAGAGAGAGAGAGAGAGAGAGAGAGAGAGAGAGAGAGAGAGAGAGAACAGACACAATGTGAAGAGAGAGAGAGAGAGAGAGAGAGAGAGAGAGAGAGAGAGAGAGAACAGGCAAACCATGTGATGGGCCTTACACAGAAGTCTCATCAGTCACCACTGTATTCACAACCCTAGAGCTATTAATATCACTCATCCAAATTCATATAAGACAGAAAACAAAAATGGCTAATTAGGCTATGAATATTCAATAATAAGGGCAGACATAGCTCTAAGAGCTTAAAACTAACTCTACCTTCTTTGTAAAATGGTTTCTTAAACAAATTACCATTAAGAGAACATGATTAGGGTTGGAGAGATGGCTCAGCGGTTAAGAACACTGGCTGTTTATGCAAAGGACCCAGGTTCAATTCTAAGCATCCCAGCATGTTGGTTAACAACCGTTCATAACTCCAGTTCCAGGGTACACATTTTTCTGACTTCCGCAAGCATTCCACAACATAGATGCACTTATATGCACTTACATGCAGGCAATACACTCATACACATAAAATAAAAACAATAAATAAAAGAGAGTATGATTATAGCACAACCATGCACCATAATTATCATGACTGTAACTCTCAGTATTTCAGATGTGGATAGGCCTTTAACTGTACCACCCAGAAAAACGGAAACTCAGTGTATGCAATGGAATGCAAGCATGACTACTCAAATGAAAGCCAAACGAAGGCCAGGATCTTGCCTTCACTTATAGCAGAAGCATCTAGACTAGCCCTCAAAAGGTGGCAAATAATATTCAGTAAATATTATTTACTGAATGAGTATTGTTAAATTACCTAGTCTAATATCTTTATTTTATCAGCAAGAATTCAGAAATCTAGATTTGTTTAAGATAATAAAGTTAAATGGGGAAAGCCAAAACCAGATCTAAAGTTTCCCCAACTGTAGCAATGCCCACAGCACTGATCTTTAATTAGAGTCATCCCCAATCTATCATTAGTGTAGTTATATAACATACTTAGGAAAAACCTTTCTACTTACAACCAACCAAAAGGAACACTGCTGTGAACAACCAGCCCATTAGACAAGCATGTGGTTTTGACACAATTACCATGCTGGCATGCTCCCATCAGGACTGATGAAAGTGTTCGTTATTCTGACAGCTCCAGGAGAAAAACCATGCATCAGTGAACAAGCAATCAGGCAGAAAACCATCATCAACAGAGTACCAGCACTGCTTAGTAAGGGATGATAGTAAATAAAACCAACCTTTATTTTCTTATGTTTTAAGTAAGGAGGCAAGGTGCTGTCTCTACTATAGCTTAAACTACCTAGCATATATTATGCTGTTTAAAACACAGGCCCTTAAATCAAGACTACAAAAAACAGATGGTGACACAGCTCTATAAACTAAGGAAGAACCTCAAGTTCAGGCTTATATTAGGTCATTGTGTTTCCTTATAACCTTTAGAGTCTGAGACACTCTACAGCCCACCTGATTCATGCAATCCTTGGGCAAAAAAACAGGACAAAAGTATCTGCCAGCTGAGAGGCTGCTGTTTTGTGCTGATTACCAGCAGCCAAGGCTCTAATTTCTCCTAGCATAAAATAAAACATTATTTTAAGGGGTTAAGATTTACAAATGGGAAAGTACGTGCTTTTACACTTCAAAATCGAGGTAAGGGAATTGGAGAGTGATGCTTTTCAAATGTATCAAACATTGGGGGGAACGGTATTTCAGAAGGAAGAAGAAACAACACAAACAGACTGCCAAGTACTGATGATACAGTTCAGTGGCAGAGAGCATGCTTGGTCTGAGGGGGGGGGTCTTTGTGGGTTTTTCTCTTAAGTATCAGAGGGTCTAAAAAATGCTATATTATCTGTTCAGTAAGTAAAAATACATTCCAAAGAAACTGTGTATCAGTGTCTTATTTATATGGTGAAAATAAGCAATTTTTAAACTAAATACCTGTAATGTATGTGTTTGTTTTTAAAGGGTGATGTTTAAAAAAAAAACAACCTGTAAGAACAACAGACTATTTCTATTGAGATTCAAGCTAACATCTGCTTGAAATTAAGCCCACACATTCAAAAAACATGAACTGCAATGCAGCCCTTTGCCAGTTCAAGCCTAGGCAGGATCAGGTTTCATCCAGAGCATATATTTCCTCTGTTCTTTCTCC